TGAATGCTGAAGGTAATGGATGGGGTGTCTATCAAGTGGGCTGTGTTGTCCTGGATAATGTCGAACTTACTGCACTCAGCCTGACACGTAGGGTGTATTTTATCATACTCTTGACATGTACCTTGTAGGTGATAGACAGGCATTAGAGAATCAATCATTAGAGATGGTGGTGAGTTACTCGCTACAGAATTCCCAGCCTCTGATTTGTTGTATTTATTTGCCGGTATGCAGAAGGTATATCCCTCTTCATTTCCCACCATAATCTCTACGGTTTTGGAAATGCCATTTTGTGAAGGACTTACAATTAAATGGGAAAGTGACTCTGGCATTTTCAACTTTATTATCATTGTTATGGGCAGGCATTGCATGATGATGCTGTTGGCTCAAATGCTAAATAATTAAATACATATGTCAAAATACCAGGCATTCAATATGAATTACATTGAACATGTTCTAAGCATTAATACGATATACCAATGCCAACACAACACTTGTGTACACAACGCATGAACTATTCCCCTCCACACAAAAGATATTAGGAAAGCGGAAAGAAGGGGGGGGAGGAAAATATAAGACTTAGTTTATCTCTTTTTACCCAAGTCTTTTACACTACCAGAGGAAGATGTAAACAAAAACAAACTGACCTTAGTGTTAGAGCTGACTTTATTACACATGCACAAATGCTGCACATGTTTGACCAAGTTCAGCACTCCAACAACCAAATGGTGCATGACAGTGTAAGACAGACAGTTGGGAGAGGCTTACATTTCAACAACCACCTTCATAGCCTCAAGAGGTCCCAAAGCATTTATTGGCCATTGAAGTACTTTGAGTGGCAGGAGCAGACTGGTTAAGGAACATAGACAGGGAATGATAAATCAGCCAGGAGAACAAACATTAGTTTACTTTTTTTATTTTACATTTTATCTTCTCCTTCACCTTTAATTGCAGTTACCTAATAAACTGAGCTTTTGGGAGCTCACTTACCCATTTTTAAACATCTTTGAATATTTAACATTATCATCCCTGAGCTCTGTAAATGTATTTTTTGTGCTTGGCCCAGGAAGGGTGCCAATTCTTGCTCAACTTAGTAATAGCTGATCAAAGACAGCCTAGCTAGTCTATCACCTGAGTAACCCCTTTCCAACCAGGATCTTTGGTAAATTGTTTCTTTAACTGCCCAAACAGGGCACCAGATATTTACAACAGGCTCCGCAGGGAGGGGGTGGGGAAGCATTTCAGATTGAGAGCACCTCCCAGAGGACTGATCCCCTTTGAAGTTGATATTTGTCTTACAGAGACTGTCCTGGATTCATCCTTTAAAAGGAAATGAAGTAAGGGCAAGAGCTGAACACAACGAAACATAAAGAGAAGCAAAGAAAATCCGCTTATTTCACACATTAAGGCTTCTTTGGATACTGTATTATGTAAGGTATAATTAAAGAATCATTGATTTATTTTCACTTTTCAGACAGGATGTAGGCAAGAGGGAACAAAATCAGAAGTTGCTGGAAAAGCTCAGCAGGTCTGGCAGCACCTGTGAAAAAAAAATCAGAGTTAATGTTTTGGGTGTGGTGACCCTTCCTCAGAACTGTTGGTAGCTAGGAAAATGTTGGTTTATATGCAGAAGATAGGGTGGGGGGAGGGGGTTAAGGAATAAATGATAGGTGGCCATAGAGCCCAAAGAGAGAGAACAACAGTTGGACAGATAAAGTAATTGATAACGAACTAGCTTGGAGGGTCAATTGCTGTTAATGGAGACTGTTGGTGACTTATAATAGGTGGTGTGTAATGACACTATGTGCTGATGGTAGCTGAAAGTGGTGGCTAGCTTTCAGTAAATTATCTTGAAGAAGGTGTAATTTGAGTTTTACTCTGTCTCCCATCAATTTCAGTTGTCTTCACAAATAACTTCTCTGTTTTGATTTTTTTTTCCAGTTTTCTTTTCTTTTTCTTATCTGCTGATTGCTGGCTTGTGCTGGGAGGGAATTCCTCCAATACCTTGTCAATTCATTGACAGTAACTGTAAAAAGGTTTACTAAATACAGATATCACCAAGTCACGTAAAATCCTAGCCTTGCCCAACTTGCATTATCCAGGAGGTGGCGGAAATCAGGGGCTGAGGGCATGGGCTAAACATCTCCCTCTTTGTCCGTGAACAATAAGGCCAACAATATCTGACTGAGACAAAACAGAAGTAGCTGGAAAAGCTCAGCAGGTCTGGCAGCATCTGTGAAGAAAATATCTGATTGAGATCCGTTAACTGGTCAAAGAGCACACCAATCCTAGGATCTTCTTGTTCTATATACTTCAGTGTTACATTACACTTTCAATATGACTGAGTGCTGAACACTGTTGCTGAATACTTCAACAGAACATGGTGCATTACTGTGCTCAACAGATGCACACAGTATTCAGAAAGAACATCGTTTCATTTGTGAATGACTTACACCGAATTGCAAGCAAGCTGAAATTACAGCTCCTCAAAGGAAGAGCTAATTTGAGACTGAATCTTTAGGGGGGTGCCCAGCAAGGTTCTATCAATCCTTCTGCTGTCCAAACAGGACCTTCAATTGTCAAATTCAATGCAGGTAGATGGGCAGTGGGAGCTGCACAAACAGAGCAAGCAATTAATTAGAAGGGAAACAAATTGATCTGACTAGTTTATAGAGTACTATGGTACAGTTCACAAACTGACAGGGCTTCAATATGCCCACTAATACACAGCCATAGCCAGAGGAGGGCACCACTGCCACCAGTATGTCTTGTTCCAGATTTCACAACAGAAGAGCCCATTGATATGAAGTATACCCACCATCAATGCAGACTGCCATCCTGCAGGAGAAGAAGCTGTTTCAAAGCTTGTGCCACAGCAAGAAGCTACTATCTCCGAGGCACAGGTCCTAGCCCAAGTTGGTGGAGTGTTTGAGACCAGAGTATGTCCAGGCCTCCACAGTTTGCCTCCATGGCCACTTATTGAAGATCTTAGGCAGCATGACTGTAAGGCTCAGTGAATAGGAGATTTCATAAAGCCAGTAGAGGTAGAGAAAAACCTACTCGATCCAGACCATTTTGAGACAGATTCGATTAACAACAGTCAGCACTGACAGCCACAAAGAAATTTCTCAGACTGTACCCTTCCCTTTAAAGGATAGGTAGACAATATCATAGAATGGGACACCACTAACCACAGCAACCAGTCAGAGCAGGAGGCTCTGCACATCATACTGTTCTTCAAGGAGAAAATTTGGGAAACAAGACACCACAGAAGTTGCACAACCTGATGTCCTGATGTGGCAACATGGTCTTTCAGATAACCCTTCAATATTCCTTACCATAAAAGGTGTGCCCAAACTGCCAGGATCAATGAGGAACTATATCCAGCACCAGTCCAGGCAGTGTCCTGAGTATGGAATTCCTGGAGGTGCCAGGGCTTAGGAAAAGCAAGGAAAAATTTTCACAATGGCCAAAAGCCCAAAGCAGACACCCTAGACCAACAGCTTTCAGACAACAGAATGGAGGATGACTAAAGCCTCAAAAGATCCGCCAAATGTGAAATCCAACCCCCTAAAGCATGATGCACAAATAGAAAGCCTGAATGGACACTGAAGAACATTGCACTACTAGAAGATAACTCCAGCAAAGCTATCAGAGATGATCCTGAAAAAGCACACAAGAGTATTTCTCCAGAATCCATGCATCAACTAACAGAACACAAGGAGGAGGATCCGTACAAATTGGGGGAGGCCATCTATGGGGGCATCCAAGAGGCTGAGCCTCAGATCAACATAGATCATTTACTCTGTAGGGAGGCTGTGGCATAAACATGCTCACAAACAGCAGAAGAACATTCCTGACCAACAGGGCACACACCTGACGAAAGCACCACATCAGAGTGTGACAGGTATAACTCCAGTGTTATGATTCCAACTGATGATCCAGCATGAGACATGTTCTGATAGGCCACAAATTTTAGCTTTGAAATTTACTTACTCTGGTGGTCAGTCATTGGGTACCTTCGTTGAATGTGTTCAATGTACTTCTGACAAAAGAACATAAATTATTACACACAAGTAAATCTAAGAAAATTTGAAAAGATCTGCTCATAAAGATTCAAAAGAAGTATTAAACCCTTTATCCCTGCCACATCCTTTCATAAACACTCAAACCAAGTATCACTCCGATCTTCCTTCTTCAATTTCTTACACAATTGACAAGATTGCAAGCTTTCCCTTTTGGTGATTTCCTACACATTCACCAGAGACTCACAGACACAGGCTACCTCGTAGGGTATTCTCACTGAACTGTAAGGAAAGCTCAGGACTTTTTCTGGCCCTGTCTACTTAAACAGCTAAAACATTTCAAGACTTCCTTCCAGTTCTGATGACCTGGAGACAGCCAAAATGATCATTCTACTGACAACCGAACTGAACCTGCTTCTGGCCTCGAGCCTGTCTTTCTGCAAGTCATAGAAGTACAACTTAGTAAATGCTTTCGCAATTATCTCAGCAGGTAGCTCATATAAGTATTTAGCTTGTCAGATGAATTTTTGGAAATGCTGTTTTGACCCACCGCTAAAATACAATTTCCTGACCCTTAAGAAATGTCATCTTCACAGAATTAAAAATCAAAAACCCAGTTACCTCTATTTTAGAATCCAAGTCCCAAGTTAGGATATATTATAAGCCTTCACCACACTAGCAACATCGAGAATCCCACAGATACCAATTCTGTTGAGCCAACAGCACACAATATACCAGTAGAAGCAATGGAAGATGGCCCTCAATCACCTTTTACTAGACATCCAACACTATGATGACACCATACACAAGCCGGACTGAAGGAAACTCAGACAGATTCAGCCAAATGACAGCTGAGGGAATACAATAAGTGTTTAATCCCACCTGTAAGAGCAACACATAATACTCCATTATGGGGCATTTCCCGGAAGAAAAAATTAGTCTCCTAAGAAGGAAACACACACCCAACTCCAGTCCTACCTGTCCTCTCAGACTGCCAAAAAGATGGTTGACATTGCAGCTTCACCACAGGAGACTTGGCTGACAGGGGAATGGAATACGAGTTACTAGTGAATAGAAATGTAGATGTGTCAATGACAGGAAAAATAAAAAAAGATATGATATGGGGAAAGAGGTATTGGGAAAGATTCAACTTTACTTTCTTTTGCCCCTTTATTTTCTTGATTAACCAATGTTTTTAGCAATCCAGCTCACAGGTTCTGGCAATACCTCTCTAAATCTCTTCATCTCTTCTGGGATCCCTCTTAAAACCTATCCCTTAAATCAAACTTTTAGTTACTACTCCTAATATCATTTTCTTCGCTTTGGTGCTAATTTTTACGATGAAAGAGCATTGTCAGAAGGGATTTGCAGCTGGTGAAAAATAAAGGAGCAGCAAAGGAGGACCAGAGAAGGGCCAGACTGGGTGGCGTAATGACACTCTGGAGTTGGGCTGACCTTCAGCAAAAAGCTGGATGGAGGCACCAACAAGAGGATTGAAAACAAATTTTAAAAACATAGTTAAAGAAATTGGTTGAGATAAAATAGATTCAAACCTTTGGAGAATCTGCATCACCATTGTTGATAAGCAACTGCTTAAATAGGAAAATTTCCATTATAAATATTTGCACAGCAAATATCAATTATAAATTTTGACATTAAAGCAATCTCAAACATTCTGACAAAGGAAAAGCAGACAACATACATGTGAGAGTTTCTCAAATAACGTATATATAGCTTGCAGTTTTCTAACAGACAACTAGGTTAATAAATTTTAAGAACAGTTACACATCACTTCTTCAAAAGCAAGAAAAAATTCAAGCACAATTACAAAATACTTTGTAATAATCAACTCTAGAAAAAGGTCTATTTATTCCACATCTTCTGATCTCTATTTCACTTCAATAATAGGCTTTCATTTCTAAATTTGTAAATACATAAAACATCAACATGATTTTGATTAAACAATTGATTCAACAAGACAATTAGGATCTGGCTACGTGATGGTAAATAGTTGTGCCACTGCTTCTTATTCGCATACTGTTGTGTATAACGGTTAGAACTACTATTGGATTGCAGATTCACCTTGGAAAAACACTGGAGCACTTATCCATTTCCTGAACTCTTCTGCTAAGGCCGATGTTACTTCCTCCCGGCTCAGTTCTGATGTGAATTGACCTATAAAGGTAATACATTCTGGATATTAAATCCACTTTGCAGAGAGTTAAAATAAGAAAAACTATATCACCAATGTAAGAAAGCAACAGTGAATTTTGTCCAATCCTGATGTGGCGAAATTGGTTGCAAGAGATTCATCAAGATTGGCTCAACATTTTTCAATTAGAAAATGGCTGCCTGAATGAAGCCCTAATGAAACACCCATATGTCTTCCAGGAAGGTCTAGGGACTATCAAAAGAGCCAAGGCCATCTTGCATGTTGACCAGAAAGCAATTCCACAATTCTCCAAGGCCCACCCAGTAGAGGCAGAAATCAAAAGGGAAGTGAAGGAATCATCAAACCTGTCCAATGTGCGGAATTGACAGCGCTGGTCGTACTGATTGTGAAGCCCGACGGGTCAGTTCGCCTTTGTGGGGATTTTAAGCAAATGATAAACCACTTTTCGCAGCTGAGGATTAGATGGGTTATTGACTGTGCAGTTTTTAAGCAGACGATGGAGAACATTTTACAAGATCTACCCCAGGTTGCCATTTAACTAAATGATGTGCTAATAACAGAGAAGACCAATAGGGAGCACTTAGAGAACTTGGGACATCATCTTTAGATGTTTCTCCCTGGTGGGCGAATGCCTTAGAAGGGAACAATGAGTATTCCAGGCACCCCAAGTGACCTACTTGAGCTACAGCATTTACAAGACCAGGTTACACCCGATGGAAGAGATAGTGAGGATGATCAAAGTTGTCCCGGCTCCCACATCTATACTGCAACGTGGAAGTAGTCACGTAGCCAAGCCATAGCTTTCAGGGAAGTGAAGAAACAGCTATCATCCTCTAAGGTGTTGGCACACTATGATCCCAAGCAAGATCTGCTATTGACATGGGAAGCCTCCCCAGACGACATTGGGGTAGTATTCTCTAATAGGTGTCCTAATGGAGAGAAAAGCCCAATAGCATATACATCCAGGACTTTGGCTAATGCAGAGCATAAATACACCCAAATAGAAAAGGATGGTTAAGCAGTCATATTTGGAGTCTGGAAGTTTCATCAATAGCTTTAGAGACATATATTTGTAATAATAACCAACAATAAATCCCTGCTAGGTTTACTTAAAGAGGACAAGGCAGTGCTGCCCATAGCTTCAGATCAAATTGAGCAGTGGGCTCTAATACTAAGTGCGTATAAATACAAGTTGGAACACTGTCCAGGAGGCCAAGTAGCATGTACGGATGCATTGAGCCGCCTCCCGCTGGCAGATATACCACCAGTGGTACTGCCACTGGAAGAGTCTGTAATGGTTTTCAATTTTCTGGACATACTTCCAGTCACAGATGACAATATCAAACTTTGGACAGAGAAAAATTTGGTCCTGGCAAAACTGAAACAAGCTGGTGGTGATGGCGGAAACCAATGGACTGTCACAACCAGAATTGAAACTGTTCTAGACCTGGAGATACCAGATCACAGTACAGGACGGTGTATTATTCTGAGAAGCAAGAGTGATTGTCCTGAGCAAAGGTCACCACCAGATACAAGCTGAACTCCACCAGTATCATCCAGAGGTTTCCAAAATAATGATGTTGGTGAGAAATTATGTCTAGTGTCCAGGCTTCGATGCAGACATAGGTGCGTTTGTAGGGCAGTGCCCAGACTGCCAACAAGGACAGAAATTACCACCAGCAGCTCCCCTACGTTCATGAGGATGGCCAGGTAAACCCTGGACTTGGTTACATGTTGACAGTGCAGGTTCTTTCCATGTGCTCAATATTCTTCATCAGAGTGGATGCTCACTCAAAATGGCCGGACTTGCATAGAGTTCATTCATCAAACACGGGGACGATGATAGAAAAACTGTGTGCATCTTTTGCAATACATGGACTCCTGGAAGTGTTCATCACACATAATAGGCCATTGTTTACTTGGAGGGAATTTAGTATTTCCTAAAGTCGAATGGTATTCATCATATAAGGACAGCTCCATACCATCCATCATCCAATAGTCTTACAGAAAGAGCAGTCCAAACTTTGAAGGCAGGCCTAAAGAAATAGCCTACAGCTTTACCGGAAACCAAATTGTTCCAGTCCTATTTGATCATAGGACCGCCTTCCAAGCAACTACAGGGATACCTCTAGCAGACTCACTAATGGGGAGAAGACTCTGCATCAGGTTAAATCTGATCTTCGTGGACCTGGGGGCAAGGGTAGAAAGGTATCAAGAACACCAATGCTGGATACATGATTCTGCTAAGCAAGAGAGACAGTTTATGGGGGCAAAGTTTGGGATAGGAAACATGGAAATGGCCCTGCTCGGGTAAGAGGCATGGTCAACACGAGGTCAGGTCCAGTAATGTATAAAGTTCGGAGAGGTATGTTGGTCCTGAACAAGCACATGGACCAAATGAAAGCTGCAAACTCGCAAACAGTGTGGGAGCAAAGCCTGCATGGGTCCTCAACTGTCTTTCCAACAGTTCCAGAACCCGTGGGTTCTACGTCTCTGTCTCACGTTGAAGAGACCTCAGAATCTGAAAGGGGCACGGTGGATGTTGCCACCTTGACTCCTTTGCTGCCTGAAGAGGAGAATGAATTTCTTCTGAGATGCTCCAGATTCAAGAGGTGAGCTGCTGTGCATTACATGCCGCCCATATTGGTGGCATAGTTGAAGGAACTTCAGCTGGTGTTAAAACGCCTCAGGAGAAGCTGCGAAGAAAAGAACCACCTATGTCCTCGGACTCAGAGGGAAATGGATGTAGTGATTGTAACAAAGTCAGTCAAATGGACCTCAGAAAATATTAGTTCCCTGATTAGGGCTATTAATCTAGTCCAGAGAACCCTGGCTGACAGATATTCATGGGAGTATCAAAGGTTCTGTTCACTCTGAGTGCTGGCTCTGAGGGAGCTGAAACAATGTCAAAGGACTCTCCATGTGTAAATAAAGAGTGACTTGGTGATGGGAAACTGGTCTCTGTGGAGTTATTTCAATTTTAGTCAGTTTGAGAGTTTGGGTGGTGGGCTCAGATGACAGTTCCAGTTAGTCTGGGGATTTGGGTAAAGGTCACAGTCACAGGGGTTTCACATGTTAGCTATAGCTAGTATGGGGGTTTGGATGATGGATATAGCCAGTCTGAGCATTCAAGTGACAGTTATAGCTAATGTAGGACTTCGAATGATGATTACAGCCAATCTAGGGATTCAGGCAATGGTTACAGTCAGTCTGGGGATTTGGGCGACGCTTCCAGACTGCCTGGGGTTTCAGACGATGGTTACAGCCAGTCTGGTGGTTTGGACATTGGTTACAACCAGGTTGTGTCTCAGACGGTTAACAATTACAGTTAGTTTGCATTTAGTTTATTTTAGTTAGTGTATGGGTTCAGACAAAAGCAAAATACTGCAGGTACTGAAGATCTGAAATATAAACAGAAATTGCTGGAAATACTAAGCATGTCTGGCAGCAAGTTGAGAAGTATTGTTTGAAACAACACTGTACTAATACATTAACTGGATTTTGTCTCTACAAATACTGACACACCTGTATTTCCAGCATTTTCAGTTTTATGTGCATTTTCAGAAATTTCACATGTATCTACTCAATAATAATAGATATTTGTTTATTGTTAGATATGTCAATAAACTTTTATATTATAACTAATAACCCAAGGTGTTTCCAGGCTGGAGCTAGCAATTTCAATCATGACCATATACTTGACCGAAAGTTCTAAAATTAATTGAAAGTAAAATCTTATGACCGCAATAATTAAAAACAGTTTTTTTTTAAGTTAAGAGGGCTTGGGGAAAATTTTCAGAAATTGGAGTCTTAATTTTGTAAAG